ACATTTCAAGGGTAAATGCTAGTGGAAATCGGACAAGGGGTAGTGATGATCTTGGGCGAAAATCAAGTGTAACAATATTTAAATAATTTTTAATAAAATTATAATAATAAAATTAATTTTAAAAAATTATAAATTGTTTTATATAAGATACTATACAACATACAATATATGATATGATAAGTAATTTAAATTACAAACCATCCAATAATTACGAGATTTTAATGCAAAGAACATTACATAACAAATCATATTAACAAGAATTCAACATATTCAAAATTAGATATAGGCAATTAGAAATATCTTAAAAATAATTATATATTAATTATGTTTTTTTATTATAATCTCACAATTAATATCCTATTCTTTTTCAAAATAAATAATTTATATATAAAAGCAATGCATATAGGATTTCTAATGGTACCATTTCCATATTAATTCAGTATTGAATTATTATGGGTTTAATAGAGTGGGTTATAACCCATATATTAAATTTATTATAAATCAATACTATTTCAATATAATTTTCAGTATTAGTTTAGAATCCCAAGACACAAGTTGGAACGGTGGTAATGTTAACTTGAGTATTGTAGGCAAACAACATCTCTTATACATATTAAGAAAATGGACATTTCTTATCATTATCGTAAATTGTAATTCCTCGTGTTACCATAAATCCTCACCTACCATAGTATTTAGCAGACCAGTTAAAATAATATCGCGTTGAGAATAGAAATTCCCATTTCTACATTTCTACATTTCTCCTCAACCCCGACCTTTTTTAAGACAGCGTATAACTCAAGGGTAGATTTTTCACTTTAATTCACTTTTCCTTAGATTAACCATTGAGATTTTTACCTCTAATGTTACATCTAACATAGGCTGTTTGGTGAACGAATTAATCACCGCTATAATGTTGGATTCTTATATATTTGAAAAAATCTCACGCATTTACCTCGCAAGTTCATGGTACACGTGGAATTGATTTTTTTAAAAAATAAAATCTGTGATACTTAAAGTTAATAAATATTACAAAGATTAAACTGCCCAAACGCATAATGCATGAAAAAATTATGTTTGACGGATAGCATGCAATCAGACAGTATTCACTGTACTTTATAAAAAGAATTTATATGTGAATAAAATAAAATTTCGAAAACCCTTTAAACATCGTAAATTCGGAGAATATGGTACAGTATACGTATATGCAAGGAGATGGGGTACACACACCTATTAAACTTGACATACACATACAGTATGGGTTTTCGCATTCTTGACCTCATATTCAAGGCAATTTTGAAGCGCCAAGTCAATAATTAGGGAAAGTGACAGAAGGGTCCTTGAAACGCAAGAAATTTTCCGATAACGCTATTGTAACAATGAACTGCATTTTTCAAAAAAATGTAGAGATGTGTATCAAGAGATGTACGCGATTATAGAGCATACTTAGTGCCTAAAAGGCAATACTACAATATTGAATATTGAGTTCTTTTTATTTTTGGCAAACCAATAAAACGAATACACAGTAGGCTAGTATATTACATCAGTTATATTTATTATGAAAATAAACTCAGGCTACTGTGCGACGAAGGTCATCTCCCGACCCCGCAGAACTATAAGAAAATCAAAAACAGCACACAAGAGTTTAAAAGAAGATCAACACTCTAAGTTTTGTTTGTCAATTTAATGGTACCCGATTGCGTATTTATATGTGAAATCAACTTTGGTTCTTTCCAATTAGGTACATCCTTGTCACGTAGGTTACAAATGGCTTTTTACGTACTCATGAAACTGTAATTCGCTTTTTAAACAATGCATAAATTAACCACAAATAATAGTACGTTTCACTGGATTTTTTTTCACGTGATCTTTGTGGTATCTGCGTTGCCTCAAACAACCAATCGACACGCGAGGGCAATAAAATATTTGTGTAGAGAACACAAATTTTTTGGTACAAGTAATAAGTCGAGAAAATTTCGTTTGTTATGCAGGTTTAATATGAACTCATAGCATTATGCATTATCATTTTCAACCTATCGCCTGAAAATTGTATCTATATATTTATTCCACACGGACAAAAAAATCTAGGAATCTACCAAAAGAAGTAATTTTGGTTTGGTTACTTGACCAATATCTTATTGCATAATAATAAAATAATACTTGTAGAAAATAAGCAACATTTATTTATTTAGTACGTACGTATAATTTTTTTTTTTTTTTTTTTGTGCCTTCTCGTGCATTTTTGTTCAACACACGCCGATATATAAATCTAGGATCGGAGCAGTTTGACCCGGATTTGTTGTTTGTGTTTGGAAAATTTTTGGTCATCCGCTGTCTGAATCCTTTCTGGCCTGTTTCCTGCCTTTGCCTTTTTTCATTTTATTTTTCATTTCTGCTGTCTGAAATGATACTTGCGTAAGTGCTCGTAAAAATCAAGACGTTAACTTGTCTCATGATTGTTTTTTTTTCTTGTTGATTTTTGGAAAATAAAATCCTTTGTTATATACGACACTAATTTCTTTTTCCCGGCTGCCCGTTTTTTAACCTGCTTTTTTTTACCCATTTTGAAAATTTGTATTAACACTTGCACGTTACAAAAACCTATTACCACATTCGTCTTGGATCATTGTATCATAATTAAAATCCAATGCCGGGAATTTTCAGAAGAATATTTGTTAAGATATTTCTTAGAAAGCGTACACAAAAGAATGATGGGACCAACGAGAGATCGGTAGTCGGTATAATCACTACCAGTGATGATACCAAAATCGAAAATTTGGAAGATGACAACAATAACTATAATCAGAACTATAATCAGATAGACGATTCCATGTTAAGACCCATATCCGTCAACAATAATCCTGCGGACCGACTAAGCTCTAGCACACGCAGAGATTGGAGAAGCGGGTACAAACCAATCGATGAGTTCCTGCAGGAGATGCGGTTGGAATATCCCCATCCTACTCAACATCTTAATTGGGTACCGTTTGAGGAATTTGTGAATTATAAAACCGTTGCGAAGGGTGGATTTTCGACGATTTATGAGGCTACGTGGACTACATCCGGACAAATAGTGGCACTGAAGTGCTTGAGCGATTCTCAAGATATAAGTACAGAATATTTGAACGAGGTTAGTTAAGGCTTCGAATTGTTGACATCATCAACTTCGGTTATCTTAATTTTCTTTGCATTATGTTTCCCGTCGTTCTCAATGTGTTATTTTTCTGCAGCTCAAACGAAACTGGATTCTACTTTTGCAACCTCAATTTCTGCGATGCTTTGGGATCACCCAACAACCAACCACAGGAGAATTCATGATGGTCATACAATATGCGCCATTTGGCGATCTAAGATCACACCTTCAGAACAATCAGACATTAAGTTGGAAGGACAAAGTTCGAATCTTGAAGCAAATTGCTCGCGGAATTGGTGAAATGCACAAAAGAGATCTGGTTCACGGAGACTTGCACAGCGGCAATGTGATGAACCTCGACAACACTCATTTCGTTATTGCCGACGTCGGACTATGTGGGCCCGCTAATAAATCCACTGAAAAAAGTGGGATCTATGGAGTCATCCCGTATCTTGCTCCCGAAGTGCTCAAGGGTCAGGAACATTCGAAAAAGTCTGATGTATATAGTTTTGCTATTATAATGTGGGAAATATGCTCAGGTGTTAAACCATATATGAATGTGGCTCACGACATTAACCTTGTCAACGACATTTTAAATGGAAGACGCCCTCCCATTCCCGTTGGTACTCCATCATTTTACTCGGAATTGATGACAAGTTGTTGGGACGCGGATCCAATAAAGCGACCCGACTTCGTCGAGATCTCAAATACAATTTACCGCTGGCTGGTAAACGACTCGCTGGAATCGTCACTTCGTAAGAACAGCATGAAATCAACAATTAAGAATCTCTCCAATAAGAAAACACAACATCCGGATGCTGTGTACCACAGTAGATTATTGGATTTCCCGGAAATTAAGGAGACGCGCAGACGTCAATATCTTTCGCTAAACATCCCGCTTTCCGGTCAAGGTAGGAAACGCGACTGATTGGTCATTTGTCATTGTACTTATTGGTCTAACGACATTTATACCTTCACCCACGTGCAGAGACAGTGAACGAATCACAAACATCCGTAGATGAAAGTGACCAAACACAAATTTCCACAGAGACATCGCCAAACCAATCACCATCTTCACCTCACTCAACTAACTCATTCAATCGTTCACAGTTCCGAAATTCATACAACTATCCACCAACTTCCCGAGACAATGCCAACTATACTCCAAACTCAAAAGAAGTATATAAGTTTGCACCTCCTAAAGATGCCTATAGCTTTTTATCACACCCCCCTCCGAGTAAGTTTTCATGATATTAGAATCACCACATTCAACGAAAATGACGCGTGACTTCGCTCACTTCCGTTATTTCTTGTTTATGTTAGTACCAGCAAATCAAAATGAAAGAACATTAAGTAACTCCCGAGGTGAACATCAATGCATTGCATTTCCGTATTGTTATTCTTACTGTCATTCTTTTCTTAGCTAACTAATTGATTACTTCTTGATTAGTCCCAAATAATGTTCTCAGTATTTTCATACCGGATGATGGTAATTGAGGGTGTCCTATTTTGCTTTTGACACTAAAACTCCATTTATTCACTCATTCCTTCCAACATCAACAGATATTCAAACATTACAATCATTTTGGGCGACAGAAGGAAGAAACATGAGTAGAAAAAGTCTTTCAAATTTAATATAGTACCATGGTAAGAATTACATGCGCCTTTGTTTTGTTTTCTCTTAACCCTAAATATATTGATTCTCTGATTCTCGATCCTTTGTAAATCGTAGTAATCATATATATATATATATATATTCGTGTATTTAACGCTGGGTATCTAGTGTTGTATTCTTCATATGATTAATGCATAGCCGTATAAAAAGAAAAGCTGTAATAATATATCTTTAGGTCAAACTTTTTTTCCAACAAGACACATTCCTTACACTCTTTTAATTAATTTTCTTTCCTGCATACTGTATTTCTGATCATTGTTAAAACTTCGTACTTAGAATTTTAATAGTTTTTAAAGAATTAATAAGAAAAAAAAAAAAAAGTAAACCGTTCGTTACAGGGTTACAGGGTAAACCTCTTTCTGTATACGTACGTTAATTTCATGGGGTGGATCCCGAGAGGTCGGGTACGGACAATGGATTTGTTCAATAAACTTTAATTTTCGTGGAGATATTTAAATAATCAAACTGTGACTACACATTACAAACAAAAAATTCATTCTTTAAATATGACAATCTCTAATCGCGACAATTATTCCTTTTGTTAATTCGTTTGCTTTGAATTAAGAATTAAATGAGCTTTTTGCTATCCTCATTCATTTAATGTACAGTATATTCACATATATTGCGTTTACTTGTCCTTTTGTTTACAGTACTCGCCATCCATAATTTTTATTGTTTGTTTACTTCGGTTTTGTTATCTTATTTATTTGCAATACGGTTGGCTTTCATTGTCAATAAATTTTGTACCATGAAATCATAAAGAACTTTATTTATTACATACTGTATTACTAATTATAAAAAATAAAAATAGAACAAATTATTTAATAGCAAATAACAGATAAACATAATATAAACAAATAAAAATATTGGACTAAACCAGGATACAGTAAAACATTATATACATGTACTGTATATCATGGATATTTGATCATGTAATTTGAAGATACAGTAACTTTTGATTTACTGTATATAAAATAAATAAATGATTTTTTTTTTTAAAAAAGACAAATAATTTACAGTATATAGATAAAATTTATATTTATTGAAAAAATTTTAATTTATTTTGTTTAACAATAAAGTACATACGCATATAATAATATTGTATAAATTAATATAAAATATAAAATATATATCAGTTTTACTAAACTATTTAACTGTTAAATCACAGTCAATTAAATTCAAATTTGTTAATAAAAATTTATATTAAAGTTTTATTGTTTGGTTCCATTTATATCACTTGATATTTAAAAATATATAACAATTTAACAATAAAAAAACATTGACAATCAATATATATATATATATGTGTGTATGTATATATGATTAATAAAATACAATAGTAATTAAAATTTTTTGAACAAAAATAATTTTTACTTAATTAATTATATTTTAATAATCATTTAAAAAAATTAAATAAAAAATCGGTTATATGTATATATTTAAGATTATAAAAAAACAAGCTTATTTAATAACTATTTATTCAATATATTATAAAAAAATTTTATATTAAATAATATTTTTTTAATTTTTAATTAATTTTTTAAAAAATTTTATTATAATAAAAATAAAATATTTTTAATTAAAATTTATATATAATATATATATATATATTTTCAAACTTGAAATTTTTAATTTAAAAATTAATTTTACAATAAAATTTGTAATAATTAATTATAAAAATTAAAATTAGGATTTCAAACCAAGTATCAAAATGGTATCAACTTGGTACTGACTTATAATAAAGTTAATATATGGATTGTAACCTATTATATTAAACTCATAGTAAATCTAGTATCGACTTGATATCGAAATGATACCATTAGGAACCTTAATTAAAATAAACTATTTTTTAATTATTAAAAATATACAATATATTTAAATTTTCAAAAAATATTAATTACTACTATATATTAAATACAATATATGATTTTTGTAAATGTTTTAGATATAAAATAATTATTTTGGAAATTATAATTAATTAATTTGAACATTATAGAAATAATAAGTCTATCTAATAAATTTTGATAATATATTTATCAAAATATCTATATATATTGTTACGGTGAAAACACAGCGAGTCAGTCGCTTCAGTCTGACTCACGTCGTGTCATGCTTAGGTGGGTTCTTGCTTCTCAAAAGAGGCATGTGAATTTGGCCAGAGTCTGATAACGCCAACGCAGATCAGTCCGTCGGTCTGCGTTCTATCAAGTTACTTCGCGTGCAGTAGTTCCTTTTACTGCACTACACTGGGAATATTCTCACCAAACCAAACTTTATCAAGAAAGACAATCTTTATTACGCGAGTAGAACTTGTTACAAGATTTGATCTTCCTCTTTCTATTTATATACATTTTATATATTATATATATTATATTTAATATACTTACCATTATACTTACCCTTACAATTTCCTATAATTTACCCATCACTTTTTCCCCATAACAATATATACAGTATATGACAGGCATTCACTATATCGCAACTTACCTATTATATCTTTTATAAGTCCGTTTATATTTATAATATCTTTTCTTCCAATATGGCTTATAATATCGATGCCTAGCATATTGAGTTCTATAATTACTAGGGTACTTACGATAACTCCTGTAATATTGACGACGTGGCGTGGTTTTATGATAGTTTTGTTTATATCTTGGATAATATGTTATTGGAAATTTACAGGGACAAACACAAATAACAAGTGTATTTATACTTATTTATTAATCACGAAAAAATGCATATGTACGTTAATATCAAAAACAAAACAATAATTATCAAAAATGTAAATAAACTACAACTCAATAGTCACGTCACCAGCATCATTGCTTGGTTTACAAACATTACGAAGAACATTTCTCTCAAAATAATTACCAATATGTCTAAATACATCATTATTACCTTGAACATAATCATTAACTTTTTTAAACTCTATAATAGTATCTAATTTCTTATCAACCTGTGGGTCCATAGTGTAGTGGTTAACACTCCACAGGTCAAATCACAAGATATCAGTTCAATCCCATGTGAGGGCAGTTAAATAGAATTAATATGGTATCTGGCGCCATAACCTGTATAAGCGCTGTTTCTCATGAGAAGTCGTATCACACGCTGATCTAGCGAGCATTGAGATTGTGATTTCCAGAAAAGATTTCATGACACAACGATCATCCAGTTGGTGTTACGATGATCACCAGAAGTTGTAAGGTGTATGAGGTGTCTGTTTCCAGTAAAGATGGCTTGGTAATCGCTTCCCCATGGTACCTGGTGTCTCTTTCTACAAGTTTCCAGAAAGGTCTTATTCCAATCCAGTAATAGATCGCTCCGACAGTTACCTATCCCAAGAAGGCAGCCAAAACAGCAGTAAGTACCGATAGTTAAAACAATATATGGGCTGTAAGTCTGTGAGATAAGTTTCTTGAATGTTCTTGGGTAGCTCTAGGAAGGTGGAAATTAAATGGTACCCCCATCTGCAGGTGGTCGGATTTAGAAGGATTCTCTCTGCAGTGGTTCTATTCGCCAAAAATAGGTACTACCCCTTAGTTTCCCATATTCAAACTTTCCCTTAAAATTTCACAGTGCCAAATAGAACATTACTATATAATAATAACACTAACAGGGCTTTGGCACATTAATCTCAGCACAACCCTTCTGGATGACACTGACAGCAACAAGCCAATATGAAGTAAAATTGATATAGTATAGCGATGCATAGAATTGTTCATAGATAGTAGTTCTTGTAATACATGAAATACATATGTGAATAAAATAATAAAGTATGCTAGGCAAGGCCCAGCTGGTTAAACACAAAAAAAAAAATCTAATCTCTTATCTAATGTTTCAAACACTATATTTGGATTCTTACAAAAATCATACCATCTATCCAGAGATGCATTTGATGTTATAACAATACGTTCATTATTAAATACTGTTATTCCTCCTTTGACTTCAATATCCAATAGATAACGGTTTAAGAGACAGAGAAGAAAGTCGAAGAAAAGTCATTTGTAGAAGTCATTGAGCACAACAACAGAATGCTAATTGTATCCATCCTACTAGTGATTATGTGACTTCCAAAATGCCGATGGATACTGCTCCATGCAATATCGGAATTTTCTGCTACCAGTTTCATCATAGAGGACTTCCACAATTGTTTTTGTTTGACGAGGACACATGTAAGTTTGAATTGCTTTTTGGAAAGCCCTATAGTTTCTATACCACAAAGAAAAGTTATGCTCTATTAGATCTCGCTTGCTGGCACCTTCTTTAATCATGATATGGATTTCATTAAGGTTATTATATTGACCTTGTCCTACTGACATACTTCATTTCCAGGGTCTTTCCACTTGAGAGTCTTCTTTTTTGCAATATGCAATAGCTTGGTCATGTGTTTCTTTTTGTGATTCCCAATGTGCTTTTGAAAGAACTTTGCATATACCTCTGAGACGTTTTGAAGTCTTGAACTCAATATACTCCTGATAATGCGAAGTACCTGACTGTCCTATTTCTTTTGCCAAACTATAAAGCAAAGGTCTGACATAGTTTCGGGATCAAGTTGTTCAGCCAGATTGTTGAGAGTAAATAACCAACAGCAAGAGCGTGCATATTCTGCCATAGTTTTTAGATATTATTTGGATTTAATATATGAAAGATGGCAGACAAAAGTACGAAAGCACCTGTATATATAAGAATCTTATCATGCATACAGTACACAAAAAGATCGCGTCAATAAGATCAGTCGCATATGTACGTTAATCAGTTTACGCGACACAGTGCATATTATATAAAATGTTCTAGCCAATTAAATCACTTTGTGCTATTTTCCACCGATCCTTGTGCCAGACACAAAGTCTAGAACATTCTATGCAAGGATCATTATAATAAAATTCTCTTTTATATCAATGTACTTACCATATATAGTAATGGTACGAAGATCTGGCATGAAGCTGGGGGTAATACTAAAAAACA